TGCTGCTGCTGTGGCGTCTGCAACCGAAGGTACGCTTTTGACCCATGCTGAGGGCCATCAACCAACTGGAGAAACCAACTCGATCACCCCGAAAAAGGCTCTTCAAAAACGAGTCGAAACATCGGTGCTAATCAGGCACTCGATTGATAAAATTTATTCGCTTGTGTTCTGCATTAATAAACCGTTCTTATGAATTTTTCAGTTTGCAGTATAAATAACAACGCATAAACAAGTTACCCAATCTTCGGATATGCAGTACAGTTGAGCAATTCGTTACAAGCCTAGGTTTATGACCCCTATTATGAGATGCCGCACAGCAGTCCAAACAAATAAATTCGATTTGATTTGAAAAATGATTTTAAAACACCGATCTACCTCTAAGGAAACGTGCACAGGTCAGAAACAACATTAGCTAAATCGGACCAAAAAATTTTAAGATTGCAATTAAGAGGGAACTGGAAAAGCTTCACCCTACCTGCAGCATACTGCAGCGGAAGATTATGCCTTTCAGTGGAAATCGATGAAATGAATGTGTTACGAAAGAACGACGGAAAGCGGGAGATAAAAAAAGCATTTTTGTTCAGGCATGCAAATGTATAGACAGAGACAACGGCGCAGACTTTTCATCTGTCTGGAGAATGTACCAAAGAAGCAAATGAGACAAAGTCAGGAAGAACTTCAACTGAATCTCTCTGGTTAACTAAGGCAGGTTTCGGTATAATGTCATGCTTAAATTGCGTGTGCTGATATTGTTCGACTTGATCTTTTGAACTATTTGGGCGTCATGGCCCCCTGGAAATGGATCTGATCCAAAATATAAAAAAATGTTATGTATCATGCAAAGTGAATCCCCCCTGAACTGTAGTGATGAAAATGGGCTGGTAAACTATCAACGGGCTAGTCGGGAATCAAATAGGTTTTGTATACTGAACAGCAGCTGGCATTGTAATGCCTTGGAATCGATCCTGTGTAGTTGCATAGTTCATAGAGGACCGAAAAGCGCGATTCGGAAAAGCGGAAGCTGCAAGGAAGTCAGGCTGTCCAAACAGACTGATGTATAAAAGCGGATAAGGAGACGGATAGATCTGTGGGAGAATATTTTTCGGAAGGCTATAGAAGATGAACCGTTATATTTGTGCGTCAGACAAGAAGCACTATGAATTGTGTCATAGTAATCCAATCTGCACATCCACTGTTCTACTTGCGGATACCTTCTTTTCTGAAACATCCTTAACGAACTTACTGATAAAAGTTGAATTTGGCCACATGTGCGTCGCATCCAAGTATTTGTCAACGTTGATCAGTTTGCGTAGAGTCCAAATTTCAGGGTCGTCTTCGTACGACTTTTTCGTCTTTCCCTCCTCTCGTATCGCAGATGCATTCGAACTCGCTGGATGAGCTTCCTCACTTGCTTCCACGTGAGAGATTTTAAACCTAGTCGAACTTGAAACGGGCTCTATATCGGTTTCATTGTCGTTTCGGATTGTAGCACGGGCTAATCTTCGCTCTGCTTCAGCTCGTCGAGGAATATCTCCAAAATTGTTGTCCAACATGGCTATTAATTCACATCGTTTAACTGACCCAATCAAAATCATTGAACCTACAACAGAACTTTAATAAATCGTATGAGGTAAAGTCTAGGATTAAGCAAATGATACAATTCTGGTAATCGACAAAGAAATGGATACTTATTTAGAACAAAAGTAACTTTAAACTGTGGTGTGAAGTAGCGCTAAATATAAATTCTTTTAACATCTGCTCATCCTTTGCCTGACTGAGATAACCGAAACGTACGTTACCAACTTCGCAACCATATGACTTTCAGAGAGCTGTATAGAGAAGATAAATGGTGCGAAGTTTTGTTTCATAATTATAACCCATATTCGACGATAATTCCAAGCGCCAGAATTTGCGAAAACCCATAAAGCTATAAAGTTACATTAATGACCGTTTCGTTAATTATGATGAGGCATAGCTGTTGAAATAACTCTGATGGTTCAGCAGCATCTGCAGTATTTAATCGCTTCAGAATAACGATCGCGTACTTGCTATGGATCAGTTAACCTCTCAGTGGCCAAATCCTACACTCCAAACACTAAGGAATGGCAAAAAGCTAGAGTAAAAGGCAGCTTCCATAACGCATTGCAT